AAGGGGGTGGACAGTTAATGCTGGACACTATCGCTGATCATAGTACGTCTCGGCCCCGATTTGTAACTAAACTAGCTAATCAAAGACTCGGATTCGTAAGATATAGACTTTTCTGATATATAATCTACGTAACAGTGTCTAGCATTAACTGTCCAACCCTTTTATTTCGCCTAGGACGAAGTATAGCGCCTTGGGCCCTTTTTTTCAACGATTATTGATATAATACTGTCCGCAGATATACTATCGCGAGCTTCGCCAGGAAGGGGGGCCTCTCTGCGTGTGGGTTTGGCCTACTAGCTTTTCCCATGCTTGTTACGTAAAGTTACACGCAAACCTGGATACAAGAATATTCTCGTGTAACAGATTCCTAAGAATATGACCGAGGCTCCCGGTATTCCCATCCAAATAGTTTAAGCATATAACCGAGGTTATCCCTATATCTGATATTCTTATACTTCGTATCCCGGTTTGCCTACATTAACTTAATGTGATCTATGAATCGCTACTACGAAGTACAAAGTTTATCGATCGACATTAGCCTAGCTATAAGTGTTTTCTGGTCTATATATACGGGTACTTTTCCTGGTGTAGCTAGAAAACCAAGTGACATCTTCACTCGTGTCTTATCCTCACTTCAATCCACCGTCCACCTTCAACATCTGCTAAAGAAGTCGGTACGTCGGAGAATCAATCAACTCTTTCTCTCTAACGCTGAACTGATACTGCTGCGCGATAGCTAGTTTTCACCACAAGAAAATCTCCGAATATGCGTCTCCAAATTATCTTCTGCTTCGTCGCTGCAGCGACGCAAGTCCATGGTAATTGGCTTCGTGCAGTTTGCGTAAAGAATGGTGTCAAGGATGCAGATTCCACCAAGATGTGTTGCGACCATTACAAAGTCAATGGCTGTCCTAGTTGTGGATTTTTTCCTGCAGACCCGAGCGAAAAATTCGACCTAGAGTGCAGGAGCTACGACAGGGAAATTGTACCTGAAGAATGGAGGCAACTCTGCGCTAGTGCTGGTGCTTCAGGAGAAGAGGGTCCTGTGTAGACAGAGCGACAGATGGAATATTAGACAGTAGGAGAAGAAAGTGGGGCTGTTCGTGGTGTGTCAAGGAGTCAGATCAGGTGACCTGCGTTCATTTATGAAGCTATTCACAATTATGGATAAACCAGCACAGACCAGTGTCAACCGACTTAAAAGATAGATCTCCTTAAGAATCTCTTCTCTCCCTGTAATCAATCTATTCAACCAAGTCGCAATTGTCCTCGACTTGCACTTGTCCCGTGATACCCCGACCCCGACCCGACTCCGCCCTACCCCGATCATGCCGACCCACCTATAGCCTGGTTGTTTCAGCGTAGTGGGGGTGATTAGCTAGGGGTGGTCGGGGTAGAGCGGGCGGGTAACGTGGTGAATACCTAGGTCCGGGTACTACTAAAAGCCGTTGTTATAGAGGGTCTAAAACTAAGATAAAGTTAAATGGCCTTATAAGTTCTATTACTTGTATAGTGCGGGTCTTATGGACTATAGTAGCCAAGAATAAGCTTGTCCCTTCTAGACTTAGAGATAAGGTAAGAAAGAACCTGTAATCCGGAGTGACGTACTATAAAAATAAATTCATTTGTACATTCATTTAGTTTAAACCTCTCCCCTATATACCAAAATTGTATGGCAAATCAGGCCACCTTTTCAAACATTTAAACCATATATTACACCCACTTCGGGTGTACGTCTCGTACCTTATATCTCGAGTCTAAAACAGATAATTTTGGGAAGGATAATCAGATAAGACAAGACGCAGCCCTTACTATTATATAATTATGCTTACGAGGACGGAAGAATCAAGTGCGAGGGACCTCGACAACTTATATCTACTTCTTTTAGTTCCGTTACAGAACTAACTTGCTCTTTGGAGAACTTTTCCGCATCTCCTATTGTGACGCATGTCCATGCCGCGACCAAGAAGATCTTTGAGGATCTGCAACGACCTTGTAAGGCTATTTTTGGTATAGGCAGCTGGAGACACCGATACATAAAACATATGACTTTTGCATGCTCCGCTTAATTTTTCCTATGTTCACAAGTCAAGCTTCTCACCTCTACTCACGCTCATTTATTTTCCTAAGAACATGAATTGAACCACAAAATTATCAACAAACCCCAGCGACAATATTCATTCACTCTCGTCTTTTACCTAATAATAAGGTCTAATCAACATCGCTTTGAGATTACACTGCTCCTAGGCAATTTGCCTAACCATGAAGTTCTCGACATTATTTACCACTGAATCACGCCAGCAAGAGTATAACGAACCCTTTCTACCATCTGAAAATACAAAAATCTTTGATCCCAGGTCTCGAATAAAGCTATGTACTGCTTTTTTCGTTAACTCAGTCATATTCGCTTTTCTTGGGTTTATTGTTAGGTCGCCTCCATCCCTTCACTCACTCCCATCTGTACTCCCATCCTGTAAGTTCGATGGTCACAAACATACATGCAAAACTTTCACACTAATAGACCCATAGTTGGTACAGAAATGGTAACGTTCAACCCAAATTCAACCTTCAGTGAAGGGAATTCCTCGGCCCTAAAGGCAACCTGGGCGAGTCTTGTTCCATGTCAGACACACTCCGTAACGGGTTCAATTTCATACTGATTTTCGGTAGTGGGGAGAGGATTTATCGGTCTTGATTCCCATGGAAAACCAAGACCTTGGAGTGGAATAGAAGCAGAAATTGCTGATATGCGCGTCGTCACGGTTTACCACCAACTTCATTGTCTCGTCAGTAAAACACAGATTCCCAAATCTATTTCAGCTTCTAATAGGTTCATTGCACAGAACGGACTTCGGATGGCTTCAATGGGCGAAAATCATACCGAACATAACAACCTCGTTGGTCAGACTCCCGAGGAGCATTTGCAGCATTGTTTCGATTACATAAGACAGTCGTTGCTATGTAACGCAGATACCACTTTGGAGCCACTGACCGGTTTTCCACCAGATGTTCAGGGGTGGGGTACATCACACCAGTGTCGAAGCCGTCAAGAAATATTTGATTGGACATATAAGCATAGAGCGACCGATGAAGGTGGCATTGTCTGAGTTTTTACAGTGTCATTCTACTAAGATTAATGCATTATATACTCGGTTGTAGACCAATTGTCAAAAAGGAATTCAGCTCAAGCCACGGAAGAGTGATTGCGCTATAATATTGTTCCTGTCAGGTTCAGTACGTGCAGCCTATTGGCCACTTTTAAGCCTGTGAAGTTCTTAATCAAGGCACCTGTCTCTTTAAACTTGTGCCTCTTCTTGGTTGGAAAATCAGCGTCAGAATATGTAGCTACAAAGAAATTGCTACAAATATAAGACTCGGAAGATGCTACGCTCTCAGCTAAGACCAGAACCTATAATTTGAGAATTACTTCTTCGTCTTGACTAAATGCGGCGGCTTATAAAAAATTGCACAAATCTTCCTGGTGAGATCTAGATATCCAGGATCACACAGTTCTGTATTCTTTTTGTACTTTATTCTCGGGTATTAACATTTAATGTGCATCCTGCTTCCAGACTTGTCTTCATGTTCAAGGTTAGGTTATGGGAGTTTCACCCTGCACCTCTTCTAGCCATCTGACGGCAAAAATGCATGGTAGTAATTATAATACTTCTCCCGTGTTTCTCAAGGTAGAAAGCCAGTGAATAGTACCGTCTCCCGCGGATCGAAAATGCAGTCTTGCGCCGAGCAGAAAAGATTCGCCATCAGGTACAAAAAGACTTCGGCGAATTATAGCTTCCTGTTTTCCGGAGCCTCTCCTAAAGCTTCCAACCACATGTTCTAAAGGGTTCCGACATTTTGTCCCCGCGAGAGATCTGATCTCGAAGCCCAAAGCCTCTCCCGGTTAACGTAAATTGTCGATATTCTTTCCACAGGACCACAACATTGATAGTGAACTAAATGTGGCCGCCGAAAGTCTAGGCGGATAGTAGAGATTTGGTACTGGCGATATCAAGCAGGATACTCACGGTTAGGTCGACATTTTTGGTGGAAAATATTGAATGTTATAACTGCTGCCACTCTGTATGTACTCCACAAGTTCCTAATACTACAGCGCGTTTGGGTTCTACGCTTGGCTTACCAAAGAGCCGAATCTTACCTATGATGTGCTACAGAATGTCTATGTTTTCACTCACTCCTCCCCTCCGTGTCCCCCTCTCCCTAGCCCATTCCCATACCTATTAAACCACTCTCTCGATCCAAGCAGACTCAGCCTCTTATAATCACATTCAAGTCCAATAAGGTTGTTCAGGGGTTACAGTACAATCTCATTCTTCTAGTCTAATAACTTTATCTACTCATAAGCTAGGACTCATTCACCGAACTGCTCCATTGCGTCTCTCATGTCGATAATGTCTGACAGTGTCTATGCAATAGGTAGCAATAGTTCAGGGAACAGTTTGAAGCTCTCCGTAGGTCCACTAAATTGGTTGTACGGTGCGGTCGTGTTGGCGGTGTAGCTGTAATAAGAACCACTGACATCTATTAGCCTTTTTTCATCGAGAATAGCAATTGGAAATACTTGCTCTGGCACAGGAATATCCAAACGAGTCACCCGGTAGGCAACGTTGAGGTGAGCGCCAGTTCCGGCCTCATCCACAGGCAGCAACTGCGAAAGAACGCCCCTGTTTCCTTTTCCTTCGTCATTGACGCCACATGGAGTCAAAAGTGAGCCTCCGAAACGATCAGATGAGCCCACGCATCGTGCGGAGAAGGATGGAACGGCTGGATCGCTACCAAACTCTTGGCCGGTGATGTTGAAACCTGACGGTATTATTGGCACGTGTTGGACATGACATGATTTTGGGATTACAAACTGTATACGCAACCACTCCTAGAGCATCCGGCTGACCAGTCGACCACCTCCCATTTATATCCGCTGGGGGGGTTTGCTAGGATAGGACTTGCGGACACGGATGTGAGAAGGGTGGCGACGGCGAGGACGTTGAAAAGCATTTTGAAGGATGTGGGAACGGTGAATAATATAATAAGAATTGGCGGATGAGGGATATTATCAGTGGAAGGATGCTATTGAAAGAAAGGCAATTGTCGGAAACCGATGGTGATCAATGAATGGCAGAATTGTCGAATATATACATTTCGATTGCCCCTTGTTACGATCCCCCTTTACGTCACAACGTACGGGTTCTACGAAGTAAGGAGTACGCGTGAAGAAGTAAATGAAACTCTACTGCTTGAACTCTTAAATTTATGAATACGATACTCGTACCGCGGGCGATTCGGATTATTCGGTTTCCCACTGCCAATCAGACGTTCTAAATTTAGTCCACTTTTTCTTGGACACTTATTACCGTGGCAACTCGTTGCTCTTGTCAAGGATAGCTATGCTCGTGTATGTGTGTAGATGGAGCTACTTCTACGATTTGTCCGTAGGGCTGTAAGTTCACGACGATCCTTAGGCGAATCCATTCAAAGTCGACTCATGATTCTCCTGGTCTGGTGACTCTTACCCCTATTCCGTTCCATAGTGTGGAACTGCCAAGGCCCGTATTCTTCCAACTGGCGTCGGCTCATCATTCATGGCTTCGCATAGTACTTCTCATGCCAACGCACTTCGTCCAGGCATAATGAACCCTTTAAAAACAATGCGTTCACACGGGGGTTTCAAGGGAGCACTGGGCAAGAACTCCACTAAACTCTGACTTTCATTGTGCCTTGGACAAAGTAAGTTTTGCTTAGCAAGTCAATTTACGATGTGGCTCGAGTGTTAATGAGTACAGTATCACGTGGTAAACCCACCTTCCTATTATAGTAACCGTAAAAACGCTTAACACAATAGCCTATAACATGGGATTCTAGGTTTGGTAGGAGGCTGTGTAAGATGCGATGAACCTACTTAATTTGCTGGAACTTGTTATCTTATCTTAGTGCTTAATGCTGAGGTAGGTAAAGGAGGGATGCACGGAGTACGGGTGTCTGGTTTGTTTAGAGGGCTCATGGAGCATAATAACAGGAAATTTTGAGAAGCATTTCCGGTTTCGAGTAATATGCCCTAATATGCCAGCTTTCTTCTTGTGTGGATGCATCTTTGCCTTTACGGAGTATCTTTGCTCATTTGGAGATGGAGCTTGACTTTCAATGTCAACTGCGAGACTCGATGTGGTCTTCAAGACTTACGAAGTAAGTTGGAACCCCTGCTCTTATGAAGCTATTATATGAAACTCGTCAAGTGAACTAAGCCACCCACACTTCAATAGGTTGAGAAATTCGTGCTTCCCAGGCACTCACTCTAAGCAGCCAGCGAAGAATTGTATGTTAACAATATGCATTCATGAATCAATCGATAGAAAACTCACTGTTCAAACTTTGACAAGCAATACGGTACCCCAACTCCCTACTGATTCTCGTTCCTTCGGCCTTCGGACAACACTTTTCTTGTCACATTGGATGGGATATTTGCCAGGATAGGTTGGAGCACGTTTAGTAAGGTCTCTTCGTAACAATGGGAATGTGAGCGGTCGTTAGTTCGTTCGTGATTTTAGTTATAGAGGGACCTATGGATGTAAGAAATCTACAACGGAAAACACTCAATGCTAGCAGGGGCTATCTAACGGCCATTAATTAGGTAATAGCGATGTAAGATTACTACGTATAATTATATATATAGGGTCTCGGACCCCTTTTCCTACCTTGATCCAACCAGAATGTTAGCCATGTATTCATTACAAATTCGGGAAACCGAAAGAAGCCCTCGAACCTCGCGTATTAAAATTTAAACTGGCGGAGTAATAATGAGCCGCGATTTGTATAGGCAAGCAATAATACATTTCTTATAGCAATAGAGAATTCATTATACTATAGTAACCTCAAGGGAACTAATATCCTTCAAAATCCAGGGCGAACAGTTCATACAATCCAAAGTCAACTAACATGAATGCTCCAGGATAAATAAATAACCCCCCTCAGCTCCCTTCACGACCCTTCAACTCCGACTTCCCAATGTTTCCAAATACGAGCTGCCTCCTATCACCCACCAACACTCTCGGCCACTATAAAAAGACCCTTCTCAAATCCACCAACTCCCGACCCACGCATCTTCTACCCATTCACTGCCCTAAATTCCCATCCCTAGCACCAGGGGTCGTCAGAATTCCGTGCGCAGTCCCAGATTTTGGCCGAAAACACACCAAAAGCAACCTACTTTTATAGATTATTATAAATTAAACAATAAGTTAGTTAAAATAGTATATAATTTATTTTTTAGATTAAGACAAATAATTACTCTAACTTGTACTCTTTGGAATTCTAATAGATATTGCTATCCTACTATTTTATAAAACTAGTAAATCCTCTAGTAAATTTACTAGAGAAAACTTTCTACTAGAATATATTTAAGTTAGACATATTAGGTTTTAGATAAAACTTTCGTATATACGACTTATCTATATACCCTAGAGAACTATTATATCAAGTATCGCGTACTGCTCTAATATAAACTTGTAGAGTTATAGGGTTATAAAAACACGGATTTCGGTGTGTTTTCGGCCAAAATCTGGGACTGCGCACGGAATTCTGACGACCCCTGGTGCTAGTACTTCAACTCAATAAGAGCATCCCTCACCGTTCCCAACACATCATACTCAGGAATTCATACAAACTCACGAGTGGCTGACTGCTCTCCCATCCCTATCAAGATACACCCCTACACGCCAGCTTCCTTTCCCACATGACACCATCCAGAATCCACGTACGGGTACCCATCGAACCCCAATTACTACACCCCAAGGCTCGATGTCAAAAAAATGAACGAAAGGACTAGTTTCGACAGTACAAATCTCGTCGACAAATAACTCCTTCCATCTACCATTTCGAAAAATTCTTACTAGAGACTCCACAGATGAAGATCGAGTGGCTATAGGATACCTGCTACTCATCCAATTCCAGGATTGACTTGTATCAAAGAGTCCCAAGTCTCACTCACGAGCGACGGAAGTAATTGCGAACTTGTCGGGCCCAGGATTGGACAGTAGTCCCTTCTGGCCTCATACTGGATTGATATCAGTATGGTGAAGTAGGTGGTATATCGGCTCTCACACCCCCTACACGGTACACCCCGTTCCTGCCTATCGTAGAGCATTCACAGCCCAGTTGATAATTAGCATTCACCTCCCCTCCCCCGAATCTCTCTCCTCACCTTACGTAGGACCATCTAATCACTGGTGTATAGACTCCTAAGCGAAGTAGAAATGGGACAATAGACATGGATAACATAGCTTAATATCTCGGGTGATGAAATAACACATCTCAATGGATCAGATCCAGAGCGAGAAAAAAAAAGAAACCAATGGTAATTCTTGAATATTATCTTTAGACTGCTGACACATTTCGCTCATTAAAATCAAAAGAAGTAAGAAAAATCGAACATTTCCATTTCCGAAAAAAAAACGCCATCATTCAAATGCCTTTCTCTCATATTACATGTCCCATTTCTCTTCCCTAACTGCTCATTTCAACACCTCATCTTCCCACCATTCCCCATCCCCTCTCACCACACATCAAACATCCTCCCCACCCCCAAGCACATCCCGAATCCCCATCAACTCCACCAGCACCTTCTGCTCAAGCCTGCTTTCCCCCGCCCCACCCACACCCAGACCAGTCACCNCCCAAGCACATCCCGAATCCCCATCAACTCCACCAGCACCTTCTGCTCAAGCCTGCTTTCCCCCGCCCCACCCACACCCAGACCAGTCACCTCAACCTTCCTCCCCCTCAACTCCTCATCCCTCCTCCCCATCGGCACAATCCGTTCCCTCAGCACCATCTTCGCACCAAGCCACCACTCCACATTCCCCGCCATGCCCTCCGCATCCCAGTTCAGAGCCGGTACATCCACACCCCGGAAGCCCTCCAGGATATAATTGATAAGTGCGAGAGAGTGAGCTTCCGAACACATAGAGAGACAGATGTATTTCGGTGGTCCTTTGACAGAGGTACGTGAGGACTCGGGTGCTTCGAAAGCCTCGGAGCATTGTGCGAGGAGGGGAGTAAATTGGTTGAGAAACAGGGCTACTTCCGTGGCGATGGAGACCTGTACCGCGTCGAGGAGGTTGAGGAGGAATGGGAGGATGCCTCGCGCCCAGATAGAGTAGCATCTTTGGAGACCGGGGCCGTCGGCGAAGGGCGAGACTTTGCCGCTGCGGAGGTACGTGGAGATGTTGGCAGAGGCCAGTTGGCCCAGGATGCCGTTCATGGCTAGTTGCTCCGCCATGAGAGGAAGGGTAGAGAGTTCTAGGAGGAAGAGCATGCTTAGTTCTCCGTAGATAGGGTCTCCATCAATGGCAATACTGTCGGACCAGGAGAACAGAGTTGTTGCAACTCGAGCTGTGCCATTATCTCTCAATATTGATACGATCTTTGTTTGTGCAAAGTCAATACCTGGTATTCGTAGACATGATTGAAGGATGCCAGTGATCAGGGCGATATCTTCTGGTAGCGGATCGCTTTCCTCGTCATGAATGGCAGCAACGAATTCTCGAAGTCCAATTGCGACCACGTATTTGATAATGTCAAGAACAACCGAAACGACTGGCATGGAGTCTTTCATGCGTACAGAAACGCTAAAGTCTTCGCTCTCGCTCGGAATCGTACCTGGGCTGGCTGCATGCGCCCGAGCGGCCACGAACAAAAGCTTCAAAAGTGATCGATAATATGGGGCATCTTCTTGACGTATTGACTGTTCGAAGGTTCCTCGGAAATTTCGGATTGTATGCCATGTCTTCTCGAGAAGGTTGTTGATTTGTGGCAGAGCACACTTGGCCTCTGTCAAACGCTGCGTGAGAATGAGTGCAAAGTCCGCGCGTTGATAGCATAGCCTGGTGAAAATTTCTTCCGATCGCTGGCTTCTGCAGTTGGAGGTTAAGGAATCAAGAGAAACTTTGATCAATGCCTCTTGTAACTCTGTATTTGAAGCGAGATTACTTGTCAGCTCGAGAGCAAGCACTTTCCACCCATGAAATAGAGCCTATTCGGATTAGCACGATTGATATTATGTGGTTACAGTCACAACTTACTATTTGCGCATCAACAAGTGACAAGTTGACGTTCGCTGTTTCAAACTCCATACGAAGGCCGTCATTGGTGGTTCTGCTCCATCCTGGATGAAATTGTAGCATTTTTTCTGCTAGTGACAAATCATAGAAATAATCTTTTCCAAGCTGCCGCTCTTCTAGGGTGGTTCTCTTGAGGTCGTGTATGGTACAATTAGGATGCCTGGTGGCAAAGATTTGTGCCAATTGAGTATGTAGGGATGAGTTGAAAGAGGGTACCGCGGTACCAAATCGTATGTAATAGGATAGGTTCGCAATGAGGTTTGTTATGGAAGGAGTAGATCCGGTCTGCCGCGAGTGGAACAGATGCATGGCTAATATTTCCGCAACATAGGCCGCAATCTTGGTCTGATAGAATGCATCAATTGATTGTGCCAGATTCGGGTGTGTTTGTATTGGCGTCAATGTCCCAACGTATTCCGAGATAGCCGTGATGAATTCGCCATGTTTAGACGAACCATAGACTGTCCAGGGCCAGAAGTTTTGGGAAAGAGATACAAATTCTAGCATGGCTAATGCTTCAAACTGAGGAAGAGTGTCAATCTTGATAAGATTCTCAAGTGCCGTGGTAAGTAGTGGCTTGTCCAATGCAGAGGGCTGCTTCCCTGCTTGATCTTTGGCAACCGACTCTCTGGGTGTTTTTCCCGTGAGCAAGTAGTTGGCAAACCATTGCTGTTTATTGCTGACAACCATGGAAAGAAAATGCCATATTGATACAGTAATTTCGTTTCTGACCAAAGGCTTGTCCAAATCTGAGAGAATATGAAGGAAGTTTTTGGCTGTATGTGGCCCCAAATGTCCCAACAACGAGGGTGGCTCTGATACGTTGTTTGCGGTGACTACCAATGCCTCAAATAGAGACACTACGTGTCTCTTGTATGAATCGCTCACAGCATGAAGCCTCGCTATCAGAGGAGCAGCCTTGAACATCTGATGCTCAAATTCTGTGGGAGGTTTTTGAATCATATTGCTCACACGTAGCAAAGTCGTGGAGAATGACAACACCGCGGTGCCTTGCGATGTCCATAGTTTGAGCTCGTTGGAAAAGTTTGCCAGATCGGGTGTTTCAAGGGCATCCAAGAAGGATACCAGTATTGGTTGGAACCTCAGTGAACTCGATGAGGTTGCCAAAAAACTATCCACGATTTGAGACGCCGAAGGGATCAGAACGCCAGTGATCTTTGAAGCAAGCTCACCAGTAGTTTCAGAGAGAGAGGTCTTCTGGGGGGTCATTCTGGAAGAAAGTTGAAGTTCGAGCGACCCTGACTTTCCAGTTTTTTCTTCTTCCTGGGTGTCTTTCGATGAACCTTCAATGCCATAGACATAGCGTAATATATTGTCGAAATTCGTCGCGATCACTTTGGACAATCGGCGGCGATCGTTTTGAGTGATAAACTTCCAACCAAAAGAACTCTCTAGCACGTCGATCAAGTATCTGGTGAAGAAAAGGAGAACTTTGGATAAAAGGTGGTCGGGAATGCCAGTTCCCACGTCTTCTTGACTTTGAAATCGGCCCGAGGATTGGGGACCACTTCTTCTTCTAATGGCGTTACACGCAATATCATCCACCAGAGCCGCATACAGGCGGATGCATGATAGAAGAAATTCATATCGGCCTGAGACCAGTTCCACACCCTCAACAATCGTTGATAATCGCCCATCACCCCGGCTGACCCCCAAAAGTCCACTTCGCGCTAGAAGTGGCCATACTCGACCGGGAGTGAATGGGAGCAACGAGTGTATGAAATGAACACAGCTGACGAGTATACCTAATGGCACTTCGGATCCAGAGACGGTGGATTGTCTCTGCAATTCTTCTTCGAATATGTCGAAAACCACAGTGATAATATCCCGGTTTCGATTCAACCCTGAGCTCGCAAGCTCCAAGAGATTTTGTGCATCCTCCTTGGCATCAGTATTTGAGGCGCCTGATTTCAAAGTATTATGAAGTATAGTGGCGAGTATTTCGATAATCTCGACAACCGAGTCTCGATCCACCGGTGACCCAGTGGTAGCATCCACCAAGTCGCTTGCTGTCAAGAAAGTTTCCAACAACTTTCCGAGATATTTAAGTCCCGAATACTGATGATACCAAAACACCACTCTTGGTCCCGAGTCGGAAATAACACGCCCAAAGGTACCTGCAGGGATACAGAAATCTGAGTCCGCTAATGTGAGAGCCATGGACTCCGATTGCACCCTTTGATGGGAGAATTTTGATCGACCTTGAAATAGATGAACAGCCGTTCTGAGACGTATCGTGTTATTGTTGTCCTCCTCTTGAGCAGTTTCGTAACCGACAAAATTCTCCGGCAAACGATATGTAAAGTAGGGGATGATGTTCAGCCAATCGACAGCAGATTTCATATTATCCCCTTGGTACGTCGAGCCACAGGAAGCAACGGCATGAATTAATTGTAAGAATGGTAAAGGTTCGCATGGATATCTAGACATGGCGGTTTTGAAGAATGCATCAATCAAAACATCATTGCTTATGAAAGTCGCTATGGGGTCGAAGGCTTCTACGCTTTGTTTTGAGTCCACAAGATCCCAGTAATTCTGTCCTCCACGCAGCGTAGAAAGAAGAGCTTCCATGGCTTCGGGTATATAGCCAAGACCACTGTTACTGCTTCCAATGAGGTCCAGGACGACATTGCGCATGATTGCACCAGAATCCGTGGAAAAGAATGCGTCTGGTGTACTCCCGAGTCGAAGCGAGAGGCCAGAAAGAGTTTCAAGGACCCGGCTCTGGTTGACACATCGCCGAGCTAGATAATCAATGGGGTCATCGCCTTCCATGCTTTCTTCAACCGTTTTCGCCAGGTCTGCATAAGGATTAGGGGCAGAGAGGGTTTCTCCGTCTCCTTGAGGTTCGGGATCGTCGTCGCCGATGGCCTTCAGAATCGACACCCACGCCAGGATAGGGGGGCCTGCTGTGGTATAGCCCTGATCCGCAGCATTCATCATTATTTGATGGAGTTCTGAAAGGGCATTGATATCGAGAATAAAGGGGCCACTTGGGTCACGCGTTGCGGATACAACTGCATTTTGGTCAGGCTTAAGAAGATACTGCAAAGTACTTCCTACACTCAGAACCAATAGCGAAATTACCATTGTAAGACTCTGCAGAGGCAAGACCAACGTCTGCAGAGAAGATTGTTCCTAGGCTGAATTAGCAGGTACCTCATCACACCATCTCCGACTTTTCCGTCAGATTGGTTGGACGACCAATATTGGAGGAATGAAACCAATCACTTGCTTGTCTGGACATACCGTGGAGAATGAGTTGAAGAATTCGCATGACTGTAGCAGTCGAAACCAACCGAGGGTCAGTTGTGATGTTGGAAATTGAGCATCAGAGAATATCATCTGGGCTAGAATCTCCAGAGTATGTGTCGCCTCGGTCAACTGTGTCCGAACCCAATCGGCCTCTATTTCTGGTCGAGCTCCATCATACCAACCGCTCCCGGCACCAATATTCCGGACGTTTTTTTCGATAGAATTCAGACATAGCAAGAAGAATGCTTCAGTTGGGCCCATAGCCGCCAGGATATCTCTTCCACATGCTTCCAGCCAAGTGTGTGCTACAGCGGCCTGTTTTCCTTTTCCAGCCTCCCCCTCATCGTGAGCATTTTTCTTGGATACGGCATACAGGAGACGTTCCAGACATTTCAAGAAGTACCTTCTCTCGGACAGATATATTGAGAGTATGCGCTGACGTCGGTTGTCCTCGGTGTCGAATTGCGCCTGGATTTCCACGGGGTCGACCCCTCGAGATAGCAGAGTCGCAGTAACTGGACTCGAAAATTTACTGTCGCCTGCAGATTCCCGGATGCTGGTAAGTTCTTCTTCGGAGAATGGACCCAATAGTTTTGCGGACGCGCGAGCCTGGCATTCTTGAACCACAATGCGTAAGGCTGATACTTCGTCGACGCCGCCCGCGCTGCTCAGCCATCCTGCATCTGCCTTGACCTGGTTGATGTCGAATCGCGCGTCGGAGGATGGGGTGACATTGATAGCAGAGGTTTTCGTCTCAAAGAGGGATTTGGATTGAGGAGTAGCCTTGGAATCATCGAACGGGTGCGACAACAGCTGGCGAACGGTGGTATCCGAGAGGAATCGTTCGATCGCGGGCTCTTTCTCTACAGTTCCCTCGATGTGATGATGAATGATTGTAAAGACGGTTTTCCATGAGCTAGAGTCAGGTTAGCCTATATGAACTATAGAAGCTTTTGGGGGGGAGGGAAGAAGTGCACATCAAGATCTCGTCTCCATTCAAACATTTTCCCAGCGAGGGAAAATAGCTGGACTCTGTTGGCGAAGACGAAGCCATTGCTCCGTAGTTGGGCAAGCCACCCTAAGCTCGGTGCATACGAAGAGCTCTGGGGGAGCTTTTGGCAGATTCGTAGCGTGGGTAGCTTAGCTTAGCTATACGCAGCTATACACAGCTCAGCATAGCTATACGCTTTTTGCTGGAAGACGCGCGCGCGATGCATCCACGGGCCGCAAGTTTATCCGCAACACCCCTGCCCCTACCCCTGCCCATGACCCTCACCCCTGTCTCGTCAGCCTTCCGGGTCTGTTCAGCCTTCTTGTGCGACGCCACAATGGTTTATGAGTTGAGGTGCTGTGTCTAATCAAGCCAACTCTTCCTTTCATCCACTTCCCCCCTTCCCACCCACCAGAAGAGCAATGCCTTCCCTCGATCTCATTGATCACTCTCCTCAGCAACCCGCGGCCGCTCCACCACTGGCCAATGCCTCCAACGTCATTATCATTGACAATTTTGACTCATTCACTTGGAACATCTATCAGTACTTTGTCCTGGAGGGCGCCACAGTCCACGTCTTCCGGAATGATGAAATCAGCATTGAAGAGCTGACGGCCAAAATGCCAACCCAATTAGTCATCAGTCCAGGTCCAGGACACCCAAAGACCGATTCGGGGATTAGCAGAGACGCCATCAAGCACTTTGCCGGCAAGATTCCAATCCTGGGAGTTTGTATGGGCCAGTGAGTCACTTGTCACTTGTCACCTGATCCATCGTCTTGTTCCAATCTCAGTCCAACTGCATATAGAAGCTGACTTGAGTGAAAGACAATGCATGATTGATCTCTTTGGGGGCGAAGTGAAATATGCGGGCGAGATTCTTCACGGAAAGACATCACCTATTCGCCATGACTCGAAAGGTGTTTACCGTAATATCCCACAAGACGTCCCCGTCACCCGTTATCATTCTCTTGCTGGCACTTACCCCACGCTTCCGGAATGCCTGGAAGTTTCCTCGTGGATTGCACAAGGGCCTGACGGTGGAAAGGGTGTGATTAAGGGTGTGATTATGGGTGTCCGACACAAAGAATTCGTCCTTGAGGGGGTTCAATTCCACCCAGAAAGCATTCTCACTGCTGAAGGCCGCCTCATGCTCAAGAACTTCCTCCAGATGCAGGGCGGGACCTGGAAAGTGAATGAGAAATCAAAAGGAGTCGTTGAGAGCAAAAGCCCAAAGTCGGGCAGCAAAAAGGAAAACATTCTGGAGAGAATATTTGCCCATCGGAAAGCGGCCGTTGCGGTGCAGAAAGAAATCCCCTCGCAGCGCCCAAGTGATCTTCAAGCATCGTACGAACTTGGCGTTGCACCACCTCTCATTTCTTTTGTTGGCAGATTGAAAAAATCCCCCTTCCCATTATCCCTCATGGCCGAGATCAAGCGAGCGTCCCCTTCCAAGGGAATAATCTCCTTGTCTACCTGTGCACCTGCTCAGGCTAGAACGTATGCTTTGGCCGGAGCCAGTACCATCTCAGTCCTGACAGAGCCCGAGTGGTTCAAGGGAAGCATCGACGATTTACGAGCTGTGCGACAAGCTTTGGAAGGAATGCCAAACCGACCTGCCGTCCTTCGGAAGGAGTTTGTGTTCGAAGAATACCAAATTCTCGAGGCTCGCTTAGCTGGAGCCGACACTGTCTTGTTGATAGTAAAGATGCTGGATGAAGCTACATTGACGCGACTCTATCTCTACTCCCAATCTCTAGGTATGGAACCTTTGGTTGAGGTCAACAATGCCGAGGAGATGGCGATAGCAGTCAAACTTGGTTCCAAGGTCATTGGTGTTAACAACCGCAATTTGACAAACTTTGAGGTTGATTTGGATACTACTAGCCGACTTCTGGACCAGGTGCCAAAAGAGACTATCGTTTGCGCTCTGAGCGGTATTTCCGCTCCACAAGATGTTGAGGCTTATAAAAGCAATGGTGTTGGAGCAGTTCTGGTGGGAGAGGCTCTGATGCGAGCAAAGGACACTTCTAGTTTCATCCGCGAGCTTCTAGGCGCATCACAACTAGTTACCAAATCAGCACCCGGTGGTCTCCTGGTCAAGATTTGTGGTACCCGAAAACCCGAAGCTGCTGAAGAGGCGATCAAAGCAGGCGCAGATCTCATTGGGATGATATTAGTCCCTGGGCGAGGTCGGCATGTGCCTTACAAAGACGCCATCGCAATATCGAAAGTGGTTCGCCAAACCCTAGTCACCACTGGAAGCGTCGCCAGCGACAGAATCGGGAGTCGAGCAACCGACTTTTATGCAAACGCAGCTTCAAACATCTCAAGTCATCGCGCCTTACTAGTGGGGGTTTTCCAAAATCAACCTCTTGAAGAAGTTTTAGAGTTGCAAAAATCCTACGAACTTGACATAGTTCAACTACATGGGGACGAGCCTTTGGAATGGGCCAACATCATTCCGGTGCCTGTGATTCGAAGCTTCAAGCCTAATCAGCAGGGTCTTGGACAACGCGGCTACCATACTGTTCCACTTCTTGATGCTGGATCGGGAGGATCTGGGGAGAGATTGGATATGAGTGAAGTTCGGGATGCTTTATCTAAGGATCAAGAACTCCGCGTTTTGCTCGCCGGGGGTCTCAATCCTGACAATGTGTCAGATGCTGTGCGCGCGGCGGGAGAACTCGGTGAGAGGATTATTGGAGTAGATGTGAGCTCTGGGGTGGAGGAGAATGGGGGACAGAGTATCGAAAAAATCCGGGCATTCATCAAAGCTGCAAAGTCTGTTCGGTAGACGAGCATCTTGCATGGTTTTCGCCCTTCAATTATCATTTATTAGTAGTTGACACTTGGACTTTTATAAACTTGAGCAAAGTTCCAAGGCCAACGAATAAAATCCGTCTTCCTCTCCTTCGAAGTGTCACATCTACCATTTGATGGTTAGTTTTTGTCTTGACTCATGCTAACCTGACTCAACGAAATCCAAATCCGTTTAGCTCGCCAACGAACGCCTGATGACCTTTTCCTTCTCTACGTACTTATATAGTTCTCCATCTTTTATTTTGTTGCACATCGCATTTCCAGAAGGTTCCAACCATTGCCGTTCTGCCGTTTCTGACCCCTTGACCTGATCTGTTGACACACATTGGTGGCAAGATGGCGAGAACGGCAACTTATTTACTGTCATGTATATGCGTAAGACTACGAACGAATGATGAAAGAAATCGAAGCAAAAAGACTTTTCGTATCATCATTTGATAATTATTTATCACCCCCGGCTACCTATTTGCAATGCATAACCACTTCGATAATATGCTCCCATCCAGCACCAAGTAACCGAATAGATAGCAATATGATCTTTCTCACTTAACCACTCCCTCCCAACCCAACCTACCAATTCCAATGAAAGAAACCCCCACTCCATAACCATAATTCATAATCCATAATCCGGCTTAAGTAAAAGTCAAAACCCCTTTCCTACCAAACCATCTCGTTTCACATCCCTCCCAAGCTCAATTCCATGATATCCTCCATTTCCAGGGTATCTTCCGGATTCTCATCTTCGGTATTTAAATCCACCACCTTCTTCTCATTCATCACCTGATTTTCTTCAAGCTCCCCGCTAGCTAGCAAACTGGGATTCTTGCGCGTCGAAGAATGGCTCGGTATCCGAATCCGTGGTGTCGGTTCCCTGGGTAGTTTCGGGATTGTGGTCTTCGGTGGTTAGATCGATCATTTCGTTCATCTCCCCATGTTGGTGTTGGATAGGATGTTCGGTGGTATGGGTAATCTTAATGGTATCGATTTCCTGGGCAAGTTCGGGATTATCTTCTTCTTCTTCTGCGGTTAAATCAATCATCTCGGTAACTCCCATATTTTGCTCTTTGATTAGAGCTGGAGAGCTTCGTTCTCAGCAGACATCTCTGTATCTATGCGGTCAATCTCTTCAATCTCATGGTCCAACCCATCACTCCTCCCCTCAATTCCTCCACTATTAACAATCTCCCACTCCATCCCCCCCTCCTCCCTCTCCAGCACCGGATAAACAGCCCTCCTCTTCCGTCCAGGAGGCAAAACACCCAACGGTCTACCTTCAGTAGGAAGCACATACCGAAAGCGACCCTTAAGACCATCTTCCAATCTATCATCCCATTCCAGACCCGTCTTCTCATGGAAGAAGTGTTTGAAATCCGCAAAGGCATGGTGGAACTCCTTGGGTGCGCAGTACTCTCGGAAGTAGGAGGTTGGACGGTGGGTTTTGGTTGCTTTGCTCGTGAGATTGGAGGGCGAGGAGGGATTGGGGGTGATGGTTGTCTCGTTGAGTTGGGCGGCAGTCATGTAGGTGTATGGTTGGGCGATGGATTGGAAGAGCTGTGAGGGGCTTAGTCAGTTCGATTTGTTATGTTGCAGTATCGACAAGAAAACTAAGGGGGTATAAAACTTACAAACAAAGTATACCTCTCCACCCTCGTCCTCCCCCCCACAACATCCGTCCTCCTCAACTCAACTTTATACTCAAAAGCCGTCTGATCAAAATACACCCGATGCAAGCCTTTCCTCGCATCAGTAACGGGATCTTTGTCCCCATCTACAAACACCAGCGAAAAAAGAAAGAATTAGCATAGTTTCTACATACGATGACCAATAAAGGATTCAGAAGAAAGCACACCATTCGCAAAATCCCTTTTGAGTCTCGCCTCAGCTAAGTTCCGTTTCTGAAGTCGTTGGATGGTCGCTGCTAGTGTGTATTCGGAGGTCGGCGCGAGTCTCTTGTTGGATCGTAGGAGACATTCTTCTAGCCAGTCGAAGGTGACGATTTTGCATTTTTTACCGAGGGCGCGGGCTTTTGTGACTACATCGCCAAATCCATCAGCAAAAGCTCCATTCAATCCCTCCAATCCATACTATCTGCCTCTATATACATCCGTTTCAGGGGGCTTTAAATGACTCACCCTGCGGCCTCTTCCTCTTATAATCCTCAACATCACAAATGAGATGCGTCGTCTCGCTCCCAACCTCACTCACAAACACCCCTCCATGGAGCGTAATCCACTTAGCGGTCTTCTCCACACTCACCGCTTTTCCCGCGTTCGTGAACGAGCCCGAGATGGCCATTTCTTTGCCGCGGAAGACTTGTTTTAAGGGTTTATCTTTTTTCTCGGGTTTGGAGGTATTGGGGTGGTGGAAGGTGAGAGATTTGTTGGGTTTGGTTGGGGCCATGGTGGGATGATGTTGTTAATGTTGATATGTTGTGTGTTGTGGGTATTGGATGGTTGTGAAGCGAAGAGTTAATGTTTTGATATGAGTCCTAGGATGGAATGAGAGGTGGCTAGACAGGAAATGTCGATTGAGCTTGCTGGATGAGATAAATGGGATAGGGGAATGGTAATAATAAGAGGCTTGTGTTGAAGAATCAAATCGAGCTATGGAATGATCGTGGTAGTAGAGATGTATTGGAAATGGATTTGGATGAAGGAAAGTGAAGATGGAGGTGAACTTCAAGACCTTTCGCAAACATAAGAGGAAGTCTCGCCGGATGTAACATCTAACAAGGGACTTGCCAGTGTATCTGTTCTCCCCAGGTATGTTGTAAAACTTTGAAGTCCTTGCGCTCTGCCAGAGTTTGCAAGTGTGAGGAACAGGTGGGCGAGTCTTCGATGGCGTTGGTTGGTACCCTTTCTCTTCAAAGAAACAAGATTGAAGTACTCCTTGTCACACTTCGAAAGTGAACTTCCCAAATAGCAAAGGTGATAAAGATGGTGATAATGATGGCAATGGTTATCCCTCATCAAAACGAAAAACCCAGAAGTCTGCGCTTAGCGTAAAAGAAGTTGATAATACTACCGCAGTCCCTGAAGAAATCAACTGTAAAAGTATGTGTTGGAGAACACAAAAGAGAGATTGGATTGAGTAGAAAGGTAGGATACATCCAGGGAAAGGTGAGGCGGTACTTGTGATTCAGCTCCAGCTCTCCATAGCTTTTAATTGGTGAATAGATATTTTGGCAAAGGTGGATACGAAAGGCTCTTGAGTTAGACAAACTTTGTCTCAGACAATTTGCCAAATATCTAGAATTATGAAGGTATAAGTGAACGTTCATGGTCCTACATCCACCAGCAGTTGGTCAATCAAAACCAAAAGTACTAGCGAAAGCAGCCACCAAAATACCCATTTGACCCTCAATCATCAACCAAAAATGGAAAACGGATGAACATAATTGATATAAACATGAGAAAGCTCGTAAGAAAAATGTAAAGTGTTCAATATAAAAGTCAGTGTGAAACCAAAGTGTCCTTGATATTCCTGTACTGTTACTATACTCAAACGAATGGTTTTCTCTTCTCTCATCTCATCTCATCTCATCTTATCTGCATCTCATCTCTCTGCTTCTTGTTCACTATCCCCTACTCCATCCCGTCTTACTCCTCTGCCTCTCGATGTCGCCATCCATACAAACCACCACCTTTCCTCACATTTCAATCATTGTCTGTCCCATCCTACCACGAAATCCCTACATGCACACCAAATCTTCTCACTTCCCACTGATCCTGAAATAGATAAACAGAGAAGAAAGCCCCATTTATCTAATTAGTCAAGACCATGATCATAGAGAAGAAGTAGAAAAAGAAAAAAGAAAAACACATTCCCTGGGTATCCGATCTTCGAAAAATCAAAATAAAACAAAAAAGCAAAAAAGAAAAAGAGAAAAAAAGAGCACTCAATCCTAAGAGCCAGAGCCAGATCCACAAACATTTTCCAGTAAAACCGCACTCGTCCTTTCCTTCTCCATGCGTTCGATTATTCGCCAGACTCCATAAAAACACAAGAAGATTCACAATTCAAAGCTTTTATCACCCATATCAACACAACATTTTCATTTTCTTTCAACAAGTGGAAGCCCCTTTTCGAACGTTACCCTTCAGGTTCCTTAACGTATGGAGGGTCAAGAATTTGCTGAGTGGTCATGTGTGGAAGTTGACGAGATTGACGAGGTTGTTGAAATTGTTGAGGGGGCGATTGTGGAAGGCGGGGTTCTTGTGCGAATTTTTCAGGAGCTTCCTCGCGGTTTAGATCCATACTCTTTTCTCTCGGAGTTCCCATCGAGTGTAGTCTTTCAGTTGAAGCAGGTGGGCTCTTGTTTCTCTCCTTCTCTGCCTCTTTCTCCTTAGTCTCTTCTCGCTTCTCTCGCATTTTGTTCTTGATCCAAAGCAGAGGTCCCTTCTTCTCTTCGTTACAAGCGCCAGAAGCAGATCCGCTATCGTTACTTGGTTGTGAGTGCGTGCCTACAAAGGTAGAGTCGGAACCGACAGGTGCCCACTCGCTGGTGAAGCTCTTTCGGGCTGGACGAGAAGCACTACCAACGGAACTTGTACTCGCAGCTGCCCCTCCGTCTGAACCGAGCCCTTTTCTGGGGCTAAGTGTGTGACCATAGTTTTGGGAAGATTCTCGATGTCTTGACAATCTCTTCCATCTTGAAAGCTTCTCTCGTTGCTCTGCGGCACCTGCTGCTTCATCACCATGGTCGGCATCGGATTGATCATAGAGGTCATTGAAGGATGAGTGGGAATGAAGAGATGAAGGAGACGAAGTTGGCTTCAAGGTCTTGTCGGATACATGGGAGTGCTCCTCGGGTCGCTTAAAATGGGGGTGGACAGCTAGATTTTCAGGGCGTGGTGTTTGCGTTGCAGGCGGAGTGGTATCATTAGTCATCGGGGCTGGGCCATGGGATACGATGGTCTCCAAAACAGGGCGATCAGTAACATCTCCGAGTCCTTGGGAAGCGTGCATAGAAGGAGAAGCAGTGTGAGTTAGTTGGTGTGGTGGAGCATGAAGAGAGTTTGTTGAGCTTTGGGCACTTGGGTTGGCGCTAGTGACGGGCATCTTCTTCTTCAACTTATTTGGCTGCTTCTTCTCACCCTCAACCGTAGGCGATCTGTTGAACAAACTTGATAAATTTCTCTCTCTCTGCGGTGTTACCACTTCTGGTCTCTCGCTCAAGGAGGGATCCGCAAGCAGTCTCTCTTGGCTCGTGACAACCGATTCCGTGTGTGAAGATGGGGCAAGGCTTGATCTGCCAATGGGAGTAGTTGGAGTGATAGCCGACGAAGGAGAAACATTTCGGTTTGGGCTGGCGTTTGCGGAAGGAGATAATCCACGAGGCGGCATCGGCATTGATGGTCCCGATGGTCCCGATCCGTGGTTGGTGTTGGTAAACAACGGTCCGGTTGGCGATGGCGAACCCGAGTTCTTTTGCAAGCGAGACTGAGCCGCGCCAGGTCCTGGAGATCGCTTCGAGGGCACCGTGTTGCTTCTGTTGAGACCACCACTTGAATGAGTCAACGCTGGACTTGCGGGACTGGGTGCATTATTCGATTGTCGTGAGTGTCTGGACGAAACGGACATATTGCGACGAATGCCTCCATACTTTCGAACGCTGTCCGCACCCGCGCTCGCATTAGATGCAGATCTGGCGACCTTGTTTCGCGGTGTGCCTGGTGGCGTTGCGCCCGCCTGGACCTCTTGAACCGTCTGTTCATCCGCCGCCGTACCTCTCATCCCAATGAGGAAATGATCTTGGTTTTCAATCAAGAAGATTAGTACGTCTTGACTGAGACGATACTCACTCGGCGCCATGTCGTGAGAGGGGTGTGAGAGCATGCCTGGTTGAAAGATGGCTGCGAGATTTTGTGAGTTCATTCGATTCTCGTCGGACTTGGAAGCGAAAACGGCGAGCAAATCGAGGATATAAAGCAAAAGCTGACGGTTGAGAGGAGGGAGCTCGGTGATCAGCTGCTGATATATGGTAATAGCTTGACCAATATCAAATCCATCCGACAACTGGGGTCCTTCCGTGTCGCCTACGGCTTGCATCGTGTGGCCTCGGAGTGGTGCTCGAAATCGATCATAGAGATCCAATGGTACAATAGGCTCAGGAAGCAAGTTCAAATATCTTCGCAACACATTTGCCGCATCATGAACCGTATATCCAGCCCAGTCCAATCCCTTTCCATAACGCTCAGGGGAATCGAAAATGGTCTTGAGTTCCTTGATGCGCTTTTCAGATCCGCTCAGTCGGAAAATTCCCTCGACATTAGTTGCTGAGGCCAGTTAGCGCGGCTCTTTTCACTTGACGCGCGACATATACCTTTTTCTTTCAAGTACACTCCACATTTCGCTACTACAATTGGGACATAACCATAAATGTAGCTCTTTCCTTCGGCGTCAACAAGTGAGATGGCTACGTTCGCGTAGGTGATGCTCTGGCGCAGAGGTACACCGAAAATGCCTGGGCTCTGTGTTTCTAGTCCTGAGTTAGCATTAATTTTTCTTGCTTTGGACGCCCACATATTTGATTTCTTCAGAGTAGCCATGAGACCTGATACACGACGAGCTTTGTGTTTCGGCATTGCAGTCCCCTTGGGTGCATCACTGGTTGCACTGCTCTCTTGAACGGGATGGGCACTAGCCAAATGAGGGTTCTTCTCATCATGTCTAGTGGCAGTGGGAGTGATGACGGAGGTGTTGCCTCGCACTTTGCTCGGGGTGATCATTTGATGCGGCGCTGCTGGCGCAATCAGAGCTTCCTCAGACTCGTTTTGCGCAAAAGCTCCAGCACTATGATGAACAGTCACGAAGCTCTTGGAGGTCGAGCGCTCTTCATCAAGGCTCCCCTCTCTAAATTGGCCGTGGTGCGTACGAGGGGACTGTGAGAGGAATGGGGAGTTTTCGCGCGTAAACGCATCGCCAGGAGGGACAGTGGGGCTTGAATTGTAATTACCCTGCGGCTCTACTTTCTTTGCCTCTTTTCGGAAGCCGGCCCACCATGACTTTAGGTTTTGCTTTGTAGGAGGGGAGGTCGCTTGAATCGCTTGCGGATGGGGGGACGAGAATGGCTGCTGCGAGGAGGACGGTCCTGCAAAGTCATGAGAGTGCGAGTGGTTGGCCATGACTGACCGTTCAGCTTCTTGACGTGCTCAGACTCGAAGTAGGGGTTTCGTGGTCGGTGCCTCGAGGCAGATGATGATAGTTGTGGGGATCGAGGGAGGGGGGGCTCAGTGCAGTGCGATGCGCAATGTTCAGNGTTTCGTGGTCGGTGCCTCGAGGCAGATGATGATAGTTGTGGGGATCGAGGGAGGGGGGGCTCAGTGCAGTGCGATGCGCAATGTTCAGATCGGTCGTCGCGTCGATGATGGTGGTGCCCTCCGGAATGCGCAACCATCCAGAACGGGTAGGGAATGAGGTCTTGCCGTCGCGGGAGTTGGAGTTCTTGAAGATGGTGATCAGAGTTGAGGTATCGTATCTTGGAAGAAGTGCGAATCGGTTGCCACAAGGCCGCAAGGATTGGGCGCGGGTGTGGGAGGGAGTGGGAGTGGTCGCTGGCGAGGTCGCGACAGGATGTGGGATGTGGATACAAGTGCGGGAAGGCTAGATCGGACAATGTGGGAAGTGGATGTCTGAGGAATGACAGCTGGACTGTCGCAAGCGACAATAGATCAGACGGAAAAATCGTGGATGAGGTTGTGAGAGATCGGAGGTGTTGTTTTGGTGTGGTTGTCAATACACACTGAAGGGTATCAAGGGCGAACCTGGTCTCCTTCAGCCTGTAATTCAGTCGGATCGTGGTGGGCTCGGGTCTTAGCGGCAAATCGGTGTGGCCTAAGCTTTCAGGCCTCCCTCTGCCCTCCTCTGCCTTGCCTTGTCTCCCCTCTCTCCTCCCGCTCCTCTTCCTTGGACTCTCCCTGTCAACTGAGCAACTCCTCCACCTGCTGACTGCACGATGACAGAAATGACAAGCTCGGTACTCTACTGCAACCACGCTCTTCTTGTTCTAGTGAATGAGAGGGAGGAAAACGTGGTGCGCCGTTTGTGGGGAAAGAGGGGATTCCCAAAAGGGAAAGATGTGAATCCCAGTGGACGACGTATTTGCTGGTGTTCTTCAAATGGATGAGTCGTGTGCATTATTGTGTGCAGCGTCTATGTACAAGGAACAGCTAGTGAATCTGTGATCTGGATGAGTTGGTCAAGTGGGCCAGGAGTCAATTTATGAGGAAGCTATTCACTTTGCTTATTCCACACAAAGTGTAAGCATTTCAGCGCTTCTTCAGTGCTCGGTGCTATGACGTTGAGTTTCCATAATTAGATGCACTCTTCTTTTCTGGTGCATCTTCAGTTGACATTAAAAAGAACCAGTTTTTTAATATTCATTCAATAAAGAATCAGACAAAACAGTTATGACAACTGATGAACTGGCATCAACTATTTCGCTCTTCACACTAGGAGCTGGCTCTCATACTAAGTGATTGTTAGTGAAAAGGCAAAGCGATCTGTGAGTTCATCAGACTTGGCTATACCTGGCTATACCTGCACTTCCAAACATCTACACCAGAGTGGCAGTATGGATCTCCAATTGTAGTTGTATCTTTCCAAACGTCTCCAACTCCAATGCAAAGATCCATCCAGGCCTTTACGAAAATTACTCTAGGAACTGTTCAACAGAAAAACACAACACAAAGCTATTGACTGGAGTGCTGCCACAATCCCTTTTTGGAAGCGAGGCGCGCCTTGTTGCCTTGATGCCTGCCTGGCGTCGACCCGTTTTCCGAGTACGCCGGTTTTACACCCGAGATCCATCTTCGGAATACTTACCGGGGCCGATTCAAGATATGACGCCGGTCGACGCTAAGGCGAGAGCTTGTCAAAACGCATCAGACAGAATCCATTACCTCAATTCCCATCAACGTCAACTATCAACCCTTGCGTCGCAAGATTCCCATACTCATACGAGGCTTCATTTCAAGAAATTGTAACCTTCACAAAACTTCAAAATGGAAGGGTATGGTTCACTAAAGCTTCTCAGAAGCTCTTCGAACTAACAGTTTATCAGACTCACAGCCTCAGAGCAAAGAGAATTCCAAGCTCGTATGGAGCGCAAGCAAATGAAGGAGTTTATGGGCGTAAGTCAATTTTCATATGCAGCATCACAATGTTTGTCACTAGTTTATGCCCATGGGGGCAAGCGCAGAAGGGCATCAAGTAATGCATCTGGAGGACTTATCGAATGCGACGACATAATCTCCAAGATTGCAATTGGTGTCAATCCCATGACTTTGATTCCAAGCACTGCATACAAGTACAACATACAAAGAAGACGCAATCGCTAAATTCTGCTGCAGATGTTCTCCGGGCTGGTCAACCACTGCTTCGATTCCTGCGTCGATGACTTCACCACCAAATCCCTCGTCCAACGCGAAACCGGTTGCGTAACCCGCTGCGTCAAGAAATTCATGGCAGGTAGCGAGAGAATTGGCCAACGATTCCAGGAACAACAAGCACAGATGATGAACCAACCACCTCCAGGGCGATAAATTTGGGATATTTCAAAAAGTCGAAATAGCAAAACACGAAGAAAAAAAACGTACTGGATGATGCGCCAGGAAGAGGCGCTGTACGATACGAAATGAGACGATTAGAGGATGGTTGTACGGTATCCCGATTCCAAAGCGGATAATATGTTAAAGTTGGGGGTTGGGATGCTATTCATGGCTTGTATATCGGTACTTGGGATACACCGATGAGGACAGACCGGAAATTCTACTCCCCAAAAACTAAAAGATAATGTCGCATTACTGGAACATCTTCCATCCAAACCTACATTCTCCCCACCGCTGCCTGATAGTGATATGATTCAACTATCTGAGTTCATACTAAAAAAAACCCCTCTTCGTCTTGATATACTGTAGCAAGGGTCCAAGGGATAAGGTCCCTTTACACGCATTTCACACGTAGTTGACCATTCTAAGTTCGACCTTTGGGTGTAAGATCGGCGGAGCAGATCTCACATCTCAGAGTTCCTGTCTAGGTTTCTTGGCCTCTTAACGTCATATACCTATTCATAACCATTCCAGGTCTCATTCGTGGAATTTCAGTATAGCGGCATTCTTATCCATACTTGCCTGAGAAATCATAAACCAGCTCAAATCGTTCGTAAGAAAAATAATATTGGGGATGTAAGTATATATATCTTATATGCTTAGAGCCACTCAGAGTACAGCTTTCTGCGGGTCTCTAGAGAAACCTCCAAGCTATCTCGCGCTTGTTACAATATTCTACGTATAAGAACTTTTAGTGACGAAGGGCTTCGAATTTATACTGGTTTGCACGTTTCTGTAATCTAGTCGTATATCCTGGAATTTTCTACAAGGATTATTTACCATGGTAGGTAGGGCATTACACAAAATATTCGGAATACCTAGGGTCACAGTGGTCTTTACGAAAACAACCCAAGTGGGACAAACACGTATTATTTTCATCTAGTTCATAATTCGTAAAAACCCCAAGTCATATTCCATCACAGCTATCCTTTCCCTTCCTCTATATCCTAAGAGTTTGACTATGGTTTATTCATCCCCAACCTCACAAACGCATCGAGGTTTGTTATCTTTGGGATTGCAATCCGCAGTAAACACCAGCTGCCACCACCCAAAATTAGTCCAAGACCTCAAAGCGATTGAATTAAGAAGCGAGATTGAAGATGTACTTACGTTGAAGATACAACGTGGCTTGCAAATCTCTTCCCGGACTGTCGCGTTGTTGCAAGGCGGATCTGCTCTCTCTTCGATCGTCGGCAATTCCTTCAAGTTCGGCAAAGCTACGCTGAGAGAAGCGAGAGCGAGGGTAAATAGGAAGCTGAGAGAGGCTTTCCTTTTATTTATTTTGGTTCTCGTACGTTTGTGGATGGAAGATTGGGGAGGAGTGTTGATTTGTGAAGAGTTGAAGAAAGATAGATGATCCAGCAGTTATCGGGTTGGAGAGAATGAGGGAGATGGCTATGTTGTACTTCTTATATACCATGACTGTATACCATGACTTGAAAACGACATGAACTTGCAACAGGGATGTGCCAATATGTGTCAGCCGTTAATCCTGTGGTTGATATTCTTTCTTGGGGCACGTTTCACTATAAATATGTCGAGCTTGGCATTCGCATGTATTTGCGCCGTCTGGCATGGCGAACGCCAGAGTTTAGCGGGTTTATCCCTTACGCCGTAACATCTTGCTTCTTCCCAGGCATGTTAATTGGGACTTCCCTAGGGTGGGTTGAATGAAAACCAGGTGAAAGCCCCTGTGACAGTTACAATTGTTATGCCTAGGACGAAGTAGAAACCTGGCAGGGAGAACGTCACAATTGGTCTTAGCAATAGTTACCTCATTTTGATTGGCGAGATTTGGCGAGATCCATACCTACTCGTAATTAGGACATTCTGCCCACCTGTTTGTAAGGTGTTACGGAGTAAGGGATATCGGATTATGTATAACTTAATAGCTAAACTTATTCTATAAACTCCTTAAACTTTTCAATCTCATTCTATTATGTGCGATTCCGGAAATAAGCATATTTAACAAGACAAGAAGTGGATGCGGTAAATACCAAATCGTAGGGTTACATATGATGTTGTGGGGGTATGATGTTTTCGCTTAGCATAAGAAGGGAATCCTCAAGTAGAGTAGAAGGTATCTAGTAACGGCCTGTTCGGCTTGAGAACATCCTGAGTTTAAAATCCTAGATATGCATATACGGCATTAAGGGGCTATGATGGTGATCTGACATCTTTTGTAATAACACATACAAAAGGTGAAAACGGCTTGTTGGTTATATTCAGAATCCGCATTCTTAACTCGCATATCCCACCTGACGTAAACAGTACTGTTTTATCCACTACTTTGTATATAAGTATATATTTATTTAAAAATCATAAAATCCCTCGTTAGGGACGTCGTACATGTAATAGAATAGGCAGGTAAGTGGTGGAATAAGTGGTGGAATAAGTAGTAGAGATCATACGTCTAAATACAGTATACACAATAACAGGGAATTCCATCCGAACGATATTGAATTCAAATTATCTCAAATAAGACTCCGACTTACGCGAACAGAGTTTAGGTGAGCTTTGTGATTCCCAGTGTACGCTACCAAATAATCCAATTCACCCTATTTCGAGCGGAACAAGCCGTTTAGTTAAGAGGTACTTTACTTGAGTACTAGATTCGAGCAGGATCGAAAGCTCGCAAGAAGCGCAGAGGAGGTATCACTTCGTTCTACTCCTTGAACTTCTTACCTTGATGTCACTTGAAGTAAGCCTGATACCAATCAAGGAAATCTATGTCAAGATTCTGAGGACATGATAACAAACATTTTTTGTCTAATTTGTTACTGATCTCGCATCGGGCTTTCTACATCTAGTTTCGAGTCTCTAGTCATTTGTATGGAAGCTCCAAAAAAGATACATCAAATCCATCCGTACATTAACCCACTATGTATGTCACTAGCAATAGAGCGTTATATGAACAATCGTAAACCTACCATTACCCTTCACCGATGATGTTCAGTATTCTACCCTCAGGAACCATCTCCCCAACAACAACACATTAATCTACCTCCCACAAAGCATCCTCCCACAAAGCATTATCCCGGATTGGCCTTTCATCATCCGCATCATCGGGATCTGTCCTTATCAAGAAACCTGCGACATTTCCAATCCCAATACTCCCATTCCCAAGATCAATAGTATCATTTCCATTTTCCCCATCCTCATCAAATAACCCATCAACCCCGGCTTCATTCACCCTTCTCTCCTCCTCTATCCTATTCCTCTCGATCTCTGAGCCGAAACTTACACAATCTACTTTGATAGCCCTTGCCATCTTATCAACCTCTCGCCAATCCAGCTCCTCTTCTCCATCTTTTCTTTCGATGTTTTCCTTGATTGTTCCACCATCATCCATTAACCCTCTTAACCCCTGTTTCGTATCCCAATCTACCCCTGCGAAATTCAGAAAGAATCTCAACATCTCGCCTCTGAAAGGTGGATTTAGGGGTCGGAATAACTCTGGTTCTGAGTTCAGGAGGTTTTTGAACCACTTTGTTGGTTTTCCTAAATGCAGGTGAGTGATATATGTTAGAAGGAGTCTGAAATAGACGAATCTCAGGGAGGGCAGTTTTGGACGGGGACGGGTATTCAAGGGCGATGGGACGAATTCGACGCCATTGTAGCTCTGAGGGGATTGTTAGTGTTTCTTTTATTTTTATGTTGGATTATATCGATTTGAAGAGGCTGCTAAGGATGTAAAATTGAGAAGAAATACCTCCCAGTGACCTTTTCCTGATTCCTTCTCTGCGTAGCTTTCGTCTGCCAGGAGGAACTTATACCCTTCCGGACTCCCAGATTCGTCGAGCGAGCTAGGAACAAGCGCCAGAATCCCCTGTGATAAAGCTGAAGCGAAGGGCTCATGAAGTGCGACTCCTATACCAGAATCCTGTTAGTATTCCCACGTGTCCAACTATAACGAGAGAAATGAAAAGGTAGATTATGACCATACCATTCTCACCCCCATTAAAGAACTCCTCAAAATCATTCGCTTCCTCGTTCCAATCAACGAATAAAGTAGCCAGCTTCCTAGAAACCAGATCCAAAGGCACAAACCGGATCATTCTAACATTCAACCCACTCCACCCACACAAAACATGACACCAAGTCCTCCTGTACCTCCTCGTCGTATCCGCAGAGATACGGCTATCCGAAACACAAGAGTAATCCAACACATTCGTGCGGAATCTGTGTTCTGTAAAGGACCGCGAATTTCTCCCTAGACCGTTAGGCTGGCGGAAACTGTTTGGGTGGACGATGGAGTTAAGGACCCTGCAGTACGCGGTGTGTATTTGGGGTTGTGTGGGAGGCAGAGGGTCGTTGGTGGTGGTGTTGGTATTTGTTTCCGTGGTGCTAGAGAATAAAGCAGGGGGCACACGCTCATTAGAGGTTTCGATTGATGCGACGATTGATACCTCGAACTTTTGTGGAGAGCGGAGGAAATGGGCTTCCCATTCTTCTTTACGGATCTGTTCTTGTAGAGCGACACTTTCTTCTGCGAAGGAGAGGAATTCTGAAGTATGGGGGGCGGAGGGAGGGAGATGTTCCGTTTGGAGAGCGTGCTGTTTTTGAATTATGAAGTCTAGAGTCACGGAGACGATTTTGGATTTATAGGTTAGGTAATGTTGGATTGTGGTGGTAGCTCTAAGTAATTGTTGAAGGGGATAGAGCGTGCTGTTCAGACGTTGTTCTATATCCTCGCTATATGGGGAGAATAAGGGGAGACCCATGGTGAAGCGAGATTTGGCGATGCAGCTGATTACGAAGACTTTTACAATTTTGAAGGTTGAGGATGCAAGATTTTGAAATGTGATGGTGGCGGTATACATATAAATAGGCAGATCATTGCTGTGAATAACAATTTGTCGTATGGTGACTTTCGTGGAATTGTGAGTGGAACTTGAATGCTGTAAGGTGTTGTGATAATGATTCATAAAGAATAACTTTTTAACATAGGCTCTTCATATTTTTCCAGTGGCATGATTCATTTTACAAAACATAATTTATTTCGTTGGAGAAAAAATCCCCGATTTCCTGCCACAAAATGAAAAAGATATTACAATTATCTCTTTGTAGAGACGGGTATACCAGTGGAGCCGTGACTATGGTCTTAAAAACAGACTTTTCTCCTATTTATGTGGATTAATCCTCCGGTCCTAGTAGCAAAAGTGTTCGAGTTACTTAGAAGAATTTAATTAATCCCGCTCTATTCTGTAAAACATCTTGAATTGAAATGCAGAGACATTCTCACAACAGGCAGTTGGAGACAGTTGTGACCCCTGTTGGGCATATTAATCGTGGGAATCTTATCAACATTTCGAGAAGTTCCTCAATTCAAAACTCGCGTTTCATGAGGTCGATACTTGGTCTAACTAATGCGAAAAACTTCGCCGATTTATAACACCTTTTGGGAATCTTTCAATCAAATGATTACTAAGTGAAGTGGACTCAATCACTTAGTTAAGGATTAAACGTATACCCTTAAGATGTAAATTATTTGACCACAGTAGATGTCAAGTAGAAGGCTACTTATTAAATGTTATTATCTAAGAAAAATCAAAAGTAACTTAATTAGTAATTAAGTGTAGGATGAGAACGAATTAACCAATTCTATGATTAGTAAATAAAAGCATACTAGTTCTTCCAGGATGAACCCCTCGACCTGCCGCAAGATCTCCAAACTTGGGCTGTATGTTTGTTTATTCATCCTTTACTGCCTCAGAAGAAACCAGAGTAGGTATTGGTAAGGAACCCGAGTTTCTTTCTATAAATGCTTTTCAGATCTTGAAATTAATTGTCTCACGAGCGATTTTGTTCTTGGAGAGCGAACGCTGCGTGGCACGGCCACCGACCAGTCACTTGTATGACTGGTCCCATGTGTCACTTTCTGATACTTGACACTTGACAGCTGGCACCAGTCAAAGCTATCGGTAAACACTGTAGGACTTCTGAAACATGGCTTCGTATTTTACGTTCTGACTTAGCCAACATACGAAGTAACAACAACACAAATACTTATCCCCCAGGATTTGCGGGCAGCTCTAGGTAACGTGCTTACGCGTCGCTAGCAGCCACCCATCTGTGACTTCCTGGACTAAAGGAGGCTCGGGAGGCTATGTCCGTATATAAGCCTCAAGATCCCCTATGTGTGGCTTAAACGTACTTCCATGAATCGTCTTATATCAGAAAGTTCCCATGGAAAGAGTTCGCCGGAGGCGAGAAAACCTTGAACGGTTGGACACGGAATGTTCCGAGACAGCTATAAATAGAAATGATAGAGGATCGTTCGCGCCATCATCAGATGTTGATCACGACCCGCTTACCGAATCATTGCCCAACATGGCTTTCCTTCTTGATTGGTAGGATGTTTGGTATTTGTTTCATGTTGTGTTGAGATCTCAACATTTGAATTTTGTCGAATCATGGCATTTTGAATTGCGATAGAAGTGGATGCGGAAAGAGAAGGCGGTGACGTATCGCAGATGATAAGCATTTTCTCCCCGGTAGATAAATGTTGGCATTAAGGGTCCTTTTTTCACTCAAGATACGTTCATATGCAGAACTACTCGAGTACTGGAGCAGTTGATAACTCTGTGAAACAAGCGGTTTCTCGCTTAGTGCTACGTACGCTTGTTATAATCGGGATAGAACGTGGTGGTTTGAATCAGATATTTCTCTGATAAATATACGTTTTGGGTTCATGAAGGTCTCGGTAAGTGGAGTTTATGAGCGGTTGGTGGTGGGTTTTCAGGGGTGCCGGTAGTTGGATGTTGACATTTACTTCGAAGTAAAAAAGGAGAGAATTGATAGGCTAAAAAACTATTTCAGTGCTCTGAAATTGGCAGAGCAACAATCAGTAATTTCTTGGCTACAAGTATGAGAAAGGTAAACTTTTCTAGCTTCACTGCAGCGGAAGGACCGACGCATGTTGATAGGTGTGTAACTGCGACTTCCAAGGTTCGCTTCTACGGTATGAGCGGATCGCCATGCACCTGCAGCTAACAACTAGCTTGCTTTGCCGACTTTCTTGATAACGAGAAAAAAGTCCCATCATATAAATTTCTCCTACTGGTGCTCAATTGCAATCGCCACTCTCGCTTCACCAGTTTTGCTTCTTGCTTCTTTTTTGATAATATTCATTCGTTCAGACTCTAAGGTACGGGGTACTTATTACGAGTAGACACGAAGATATCCACGTCACAAGCGGGGTCGTTGCTGTGGGACTCGACTTGTGCAAAGAGTACACCCAGGTACTCTGGATACCGTACAACCCGGTACGTAAAACATTTCCCAACTTTTCTAGGAGCTGCCATCGTACTGGGCAAACAACACGCTCCGATCCAAAACGATTCCTTCCAGGTGTCAGCGTCATCAATTCCTCCAATTCTGGTCGAACCAGATGAATAGTACCAATAGTACCCATGTCTTGCTGCGCCTTAACTGAATACGAGTGCCCATGCAATTGGCGGATAAGTGCTTGAGCCACCATCCGGACAGCGACATATGTCAATGTAGCTATCCGGAAAGATCAACCATGGCCAGTGCCGTCGTTTTCTTCTTTGATCTCACCTCGGAGCGGTATTGAACATACGCATCTTTGACCTCCTGTTGCCATCAACTTTCTCATCGATCCCCGGCGTCTTTTATCGCATTTCCATTCGTTGACCCAAGCCCATTTACGTTTTGCTTCAGCTCTTCTTTTCAAGCCGCCTGCAAGCTATCTCTACTTGCAGCTTCAACACGAAAGATTGGCCCGCCGTCCGATATCAACACTCGCTCTGGCCCAGTCATCCTTGGGCTGATTCTTCACTTGTCATCATGAATCAAACTAATGATGAAAAGATCGATCTCTCCAAGTCTCTCCCAGAAACCCCCGCCCCCACAACTCTCGGAATCGAGGAACTGAAAGGTCTTACTGAAGTTGATAACCAACGGGGAAAAATGGCCCGACTAATTCACTTCCGCATCTTTACACTCTTCCTCATAGCACTCCTCGCATTGGGCGTATATTCGCAATCTATCGCCAAACGCACTGTTGTGTCAGTTCCCACACAAGAATCAACAGAGACGGAAAACTTCCGAGAACTTCTCAATTCCCTCGACCCATCAACCCTTCACGAAATTCTACATGAACACCTGAAGGAGAAATATCAACATGGGGTATATCAAGAAGACAAGAAGGCTATGGAGGTTGTGCACCAGCAGAATGCTGAAGTTGCTATCACTTTGATTGAGTTGGCAAAGAGACAAGCACCTGGAAATGGTACAACCGTCACTCTTCCAGCAGGTCCCCCTACCACAATATCAACAACAGTTTCCATAACAAGCACCCCTCCTACATCCAGTGTGGTTGTTATCTCGACTTCGTCAGTTGCTGTACCGACATCTGCCCCCCCTTCTAGCTCAGCTGTACAGCCAAGTCAGCCAAGTCAGACTCAAGCCCCGCCAACTTCAGTTCAACAACCAACTTCAGCCACAAGGCCCTCTTTGACTGAAGTCCCATCACAACCTGGTTCATCAACTCAAGGTATGTTGGACAGATTTCATCTCTATTACTTCCTTCTGCCTCCCCTCTACCCAAAATGAAAGTTCATTTTGAGGCTTCTCAACATAAACCAATTGAAAACTCCAACCATCCCCCCTCGTCAACAATACTTCATCCCATGTCGAACGTCCAGCTGGTTTCATTGCAACGATGAATAATTCCCACTCATCTCTCATCAATTTCGAACTGTATCCACTATCCCAGTCTCAAATCTCTAGCTCTCGAGATTTCCGTATCGTCGTCACAAGTGTTTCACAGACCAGGATTTATATCTTCCTCTGCAGCTATGGGTACCTCCTCTGAGAGACATAGTCAATCGTCCATTACGAACGTTGGCACCACTTCCACTTCCACTTCCCAGGCCACCTCGTCTGCCTTGAGTTCGCTCGCTGCGTTCACCTCAACCTCACTCTCCATATCTAACACCTCAACAGCACCCTCATCCCGACAAACCACCTCCGACTCCCGTGAACCAACATCTACATCAGCCCCCTCCCCAACCACAACAACCGAGCCGCAAAGCTCTATCACCCAGCAGGTCGTCTTCGAAACCACACTCGCAAATGGATCTCAGAGTTTCGTGACATCCGTGACGGTCGTTCCAGCCCAACAACCCGCACAAACTGGAGCAGCGTCCAAAACCGAGTCTGGATCTGCAAGTTTACAGACCAATGCAGCCCAGAAGAATGGATACGAGATGAGAGCTGCCCTCCTCGGGGCTGTGGGTATGGCGGTTGCTGCTGTGATTTAAATGGGGAGACGAGACGAGACGATAGATGACCTGATTTGATTTGATTTTTGACTCTTTTCGACAAAACATAGCATGGCGATGGAATTCTTTTGGCGTTTGGGATTTAGCATATACACTAACTAATGTCTCTCCTTAATAAAATGGCTACCGCGCAAGTCATTTGGCAAAGGTTCTTTGTTGGAATTGAGGATGATGCCGAGATGCATGGGTTTGGTGGTGGGAAAAGGAACTCAAAATGGATAGGGAAGTAACATAGCGTGGACGGGGAGTGGTTGATGGGTCAAATACGACATACAATGATAACAGATATCAGCGTCAGATTTGTACAATTTCCAATTGAGTGACTCGTTTTTGGATTTCGTATTTTGTGGCATTCTGTGAAGAAAATGTCTGGATCATTCCCAACGCCGCAGTCCTGGATCTGCTGTGGGCGTCCTTGATATGGTCCGAGGGACACTAAGTAGTACCTGAATAATGGCAGGTACCGCTGGCCTATCCTCCAACCATTTGCGGAATCATCTTTCGAACGTAAATCTCGATGAGAGGAATCGGAATTGCAGCACATCCTTCACAGTACGAGTACAGGTCCTTTCCTGCATCCTCTCCGCTGCCAATCCTATATCCTCATTTACGATAGCAATACGATCGCAAACGCTCGTAAACCATAACGCCCCTCCCATCCTTTCCGAAAGCAATCTTCGTCCCCATCCGTGCCACAATGAACCAAATCTTATCCAGGCCCGATACGCGGCATATCGTGGTGTTCGGAGAGGTTGGAGAGGTATTTATTCAGGTTCTCAACTCGCTGTTTATGTGTTTTTGGACCTTCTCTTTGGAGTCTTGCTTGTAACTGCAACCAGGAATTAGCACATAGAATTCAGATAGTAAATGAGGAAGGGGATTGAGGATAGAGATAGAGATACATACCCTCTTCCTCCTATTCTCCTCATAAGCCCTCTCACTCGCCGTCTTGCCATCATTTGCCGATCGCTGTTCGAGCGTTGTGAGATCTAACTCCTCCCCGTCTTCTCCTCGATATACTTCATCTTCGTCGTCCTTCTCTGTCTTCTCGGTATCCTTGTTCTCGATGGCTTTCGTGAGCGCTTCTTCTTTGGTTGCGCCGGTGCTGGTTTTGGACTTGTCCTTCTTCTTTTTCTTTTTGATTCCTGCTGAGGATGAGCCTTTGAGCTTTAGGCCGCCCCGGACTATGGGGGTGTAGTCGTCGGAAGGCATTATTGTTGTTTGTTACGAGTGATTGGGGAACTTGACGATGATGAGCGAAGAAGTGGCAGAATTATTGAAGTGGAGCTCGTGAAGATGGTCACGTGGGCGGTGTAGATTGGTGGCTCCCGGTGGACGAGAAAAGTGGCAGAGACCTATTTTATCTTATCCTAACTTAACTAAAAACTATTACATTATGTTATTTATTTAGAACAATTAAAGTGATTTATCGAAAACGATGGCACAATAAAAGTAATTAATCTAGATATTTTAAACATTTTAGTACTTAGAAATAACTTACGCCAATAGTTCAAAAATGAATCTCTGCCTCTCTGCCACTTTTCTTGTCCACCGGGAGGGTGGGTTCTAAGGTTGTTTGGGCGAATAGCAGATGATTAAGCCGGGGCGAGGAATGGGTTTTAGAAGTTTGAGAAAACTATAATACCTAATACTTGAGGAGGGTGAATTTGACATTCTTGATAGGTAGTGGATAGTTTGATGAAGGGAATTTACTGTGATTTGTGTTATTATTTCTACGCTACTAGCGCTAATTAGAGTTCAAACAACTTCAAGAATACTAGAAAATAAGTATCTATGACAAAGTTCAATTCGAGAGATCTACTTTACCTCATCTTGCACGATAATCTCTTATAGAAATCAAGTTGTGACTGAGAACTTCTAATTAGCCCTCGGATAACCCTACCAGCTAGTAAGACAGGCGAGCATTGCTCTATATATACTAGAGTTATAAAAATATTATCCTAAAGACCTCACACAACTAAATCAATAATACGAATAGATTAGAAAAATTATTACTTTCCAATTCTGATTGTGCTGGATGAAATAGGACAATTAAGTTAATTGTGCTAGAGTTTTAACATATTCACATTTAATAGCGTATACAGAGCAATGCTCGCCTCTCTTACAAGATCATAGAACTTTCGCATCTACTGGTTTCACGATAGCTCAAACGACATGGGGGATTATTGTGCCTGATCTAAATAAATAACCCAATAGAGTTTGTGTTCTTTCAAAAGTAGTTGGATATTGAGTTACATTGTGCATCGCAAGCATCTCCTGTAAGCCTTTTTAAGCGAAAACTAGTAGAAACAACTTCGTCCTCTAGTACAATATCTCTCAGTATATGAATTTATAGACCGTACTTCTCTTGCCAAATGAAGTACTTAAGCCCCTTGATCTCTTGTCAGATATGCGCACCACGGCACGGAGCATTGGGACGTATTGAAATGCATTGGAGATCTCCCTCGTATAAGGCGGAGTCGGTACCACGAGTGCGGAAACACATTACACTGGTGGTCATGTGTTTTCAACTTGCTGGGTCAACTTATTGTCTTCTTGTCGAATAAGTATGGGAGGTAGATGAGATCATCGGAACTTTGTATGTTCGGAAAGTATCTTACTGTCGATTCCCCCTCAAAGAGGCAGACAAGTAACTATAGGTTAATATTTCACTCTGATAGAAGTAATATAAAATTTGACGCTCGGTGTAGTAACCCTTTGACATGCCAACAATAAAAAAACATCGGAGTATATCCGAGTTCGTAGATTCTGTGCGGGTTCAACTTAGAATTTACTGTTGTCAAAAAACAGAGCAACTACGAAGCGCGGCCTTTATACTATCCGTTCTCAAAGGTTCATATTAACATTGAGAATATTAGTTCTGTTAATTCAAGATATTAATCGTTTGCTACAAGGAAATCTCTACCCAAGTGTAGCTAAAAATCCTTTCAACTTATCATATCTCCGGTTTGAGCGGAGTGAGCCTTTTTCAGGCGCGATCATGCCCCTTGGACCACTGTGAGGTTAATGACGGTTATATAAGATTACTCTTGGGCCAAATCTCGAATAACCTAGCTCTGAATGTAATCCCACCTGACACATGGACTAATGAAATGATGAAATGATGAGGGGAACGAGGGGAGGACTCTAACACCAAGACTAGAATTAGGTAGCTTGAGATCAGGAAAGTAACTTCCAGCACCTTTCTACTCTCTTTCCTCAACGTATTCTTCTTTAATGAGATTGTAATTACCACACCTACTCCCTGGACAGGGAAACAGGTTTTATCAAAGTAAGCAGAAATTATATCTCACAGTTGGCTATAGTGGATTCTGGTAAGCTGTATGTAGTACTATAAATTTCTTCCCTTAAGAATCAAGTTACCAATTTAAGCACTGCAGTTCCCTGCCGACACAATCTCATTATTTCTGAAAACAACCTTACGAAAGAAGAGACCACTAATTAGATCTATAATCTCGTTAAAGAAATCGCATATCACAAGCACTAACTATACCTTAGAACAATCTGAAACCAATATAGCAAAGAGGGCATTATTCTGAACGTTGTAGGTTCAGATAAAAGTTTACTGCCAAAAAAGCTTACACTATCGTATATTGTCTCTCTGCCGAGGCAAGTAGATTTAAATACTATTGATAGCTAGCAGCTGGTATCTTCTTTAACATTGACGTTTATTCTGGTGGGTAAGTTGTAGCTATACTAGATAGTAAGTTGTTACAACATCTAATTAATATGTTGTCCAAAGAATAAAGGAGAAATTCTTTTGGTTCTATACAGTGTCTTCTAAGCTAAAATACGAAATTATTTTAGAAACTTTAATTCAAATGCACTGTACACTCAATCTTTGTTCTCCTAGAAACTGACGCTAATAAATTATAGCGACCTAAAATATCCAATCCTTATCGAATTTTCCTGACTAATATACATAATATATCATTATAAGAAAGACAAACATAACGCAAGCTTGAAGCTACCTAAAACTTAATCTCACCTCTACTTTCTTCCTCTCTACTTTAGGATATATGTAATCACAAGTTACCTCTACCGATCTATCTACTGATTAGAGTACATTACCTATAAATATAAATATAATAGACTATTAAGTAAACTTTGGACAATTACATTCTCATAGTTTCACCAATTGTGATTAGAATCCTTGAGATCCAAACTAATTAAAACAGTAAATTCCCACTTGCTTCATTACGAACTAGCCTCCTGTTGTGCCACTTTCTGCCAGTAAAAGTCGGAGCGAGACAGGTTCAGGATGGGCAGATGAAGACGCTGGGCGTGGGTATACATGTTCCATTATTTTCACCTAATTCACACTCATTCCCGAAAATATAACCTTCTATATACGCTGACACATATTTCGTTTCTTTATCAAATACAGAATTCTACACTTAGACCCTCTATGAGGCTCGCCATACCAAGACCTTAGCGAAGCTGGGGTGCCTGAATACAGTAGTTAGTTCCAACAATATTCCAACAAACAAGAAAAGTCAACTAGCTGGAAAATCCCGCATCTGTTCTTAGTCTGACCAAACCCCCCCCCCCAAAAAAGAAATTTCAAGAATAAAGATGAGAAGAACACAACAAATACCGTATCCTAGCAGTTCCCACAGCCAACATGAAAGCCCTCGTCATCCAAGAGCTCGGGAAGGCTGCAGTTATCGATATCGACGAGCCGATGACTAGACCAGGCTACTGCAAATTCAAGACCGTTGCTGTTGCTTTGAATCCAAGTAAGATTACTTCCAACCCTCGAAGTCTAGAGAGGAACTTGCTAATTGTTCTTTGTACTGTACTCGTAGCTGATTGGAGACATATTGATATCCTGTACGTTACGCACCAGTTATGTTCGTACAAATGCACGTTGTTGAGTTATAGCCAGTGAGATGAGTGCATCGTATCAAGACGCGGTTCTCCTGTTGGGTATCTTGGTTGCCTTCTCTCCTTTTGTTTGAACAAATACTTATACTATAGCTAACAACAATCCCTGCATTAATAGTGGCCAGAAAGGTTCCCTTGTAGGTACGTTGATTGAAAAGCCATAAGATCATTCGGTATGGATTCATACTAACATCTGGTTCGTAGGTTGCGATTACGCTGGCATTGTTACAGAGATCGGTCCAGGCTGCGAAAGCGACATACAAGTCGGTGACAAAATATGGGGCACATGCCATGGTGCCAATAACGTATGTAAGACCGCTACGTACCTTTAATAACTATACTGATGTTCCTTCTACAGAGCAACCCGCAAGACGGAGCTTTCGCAGAGTTGATCTCTCAACGAGACGATATTTGCGGCAAAATTCCCAAGAATATGAGCTTTGAGCAGGCGTCAACTTTTGGGGTGGGAGTTATAAGCATCGGACAAGTACTTTACCAGTCTTTTGGATTCCCTTTGCTTCCTGAGCAGGTATTCAACCCAGTTACATTACTCGTATCTGGCGGCAGCACAGCAACTGGGATGCTTGCGATTCAATTTGCGAAACTGTAAGGTATCTATCTGCCTTAAATTCTTTTGATTGAGCTAAATGATGAAGCTCTGGTATCACCGTCCTCGCCACGGCAAGCCCACGCAACTTTGACTTCGTCAAGTCCCTCGGTGCTGATCAAGTATTTGATTATAACACGGAATCATGCGGGGAAGAAATTCGGGCTTACACCAATAACAAACTCCAGTACGTATTCGATGCGGTATCCAACGAATCCACCTTCAATCTTTGTGCCGCAGCACTTTCCAGCAATTCCGCGCCAGCATTACACTTCACGGGACTTCTACCCACCGACACATTTCCTCGCAAAGATGTCATTGTCCAGAACACGTTGGCGTACACCGCGGGTGGTGAGAGATTTTTCAAGTTTGGCATAACCATTCCTGCCATTCCTGCAGATTACGAATTCGCAAAGGTCTTTCTGCGACTTAGTACCGAACTTATTGATAGTGGGAAAATCAAACCTCCGATTGAAGTAGGTACTGGTGGTCTTTATGGGGTCATCGATGGGTAAGTAGCTCGTATGTATATGTTATCCAATTTGCTTACCGAAAAATAGACTCCAACTTCTGCGAGAAGAAAAAGTGAGTGCTAAGAAACTGGTGTATTTAGTTGCAGATACTGATAATAGCACTTGAAATTTGGGATGCTATGCTAGGCTTACGGTGGGCTATATAGGATAGGCTATATAGTTAGTATTACTTAAATAAATCTGTTTCGAAATCTCGCTTACGTACAGACCTGGGCGTCGATATATCGATCTCGTATCGGGGGGGTACTCGATATATAACGTATCGGAAATATATTAACGATACGATATCGCCAAGAACCCGATATCTGATAATATATTGATTATCGGTATACGTGACGTAGATTATCTGTAAATCCGCCGCCGGACTAATTAGCTTACTGTATTCCATGAGGCTCTTTAAGCTCCTAAGGCCTTAATAAACAACTTTATTACTAACACTACTACTTTTATTATCACTAAACGCTCTAAAATAAACTAAAATGCTACTACTCGACTCTATGTAACGAATACTCAAACTGGCTAACTAAACTTGGCTGGGTGTTCGCTGGTTGGTATGCTATGATAAGAAGAAGACTATCGGGTTGTTCACTTGGAAGTGAACTCGTTACTTGTATCAAAGATGTCAAACTAATATGATAAGATTGATAACTAAGTTGAGCACGAAGCTCCTATCTAATGGCAGACGTGCCAGTATTATATAGAACCCTCGTTCCCATGGTCGCCATGGTCGAACAGTCGCCCATGGTCGACACGGTCGACCGTGTCGGCCATGTCGCTGGTCACGTGATTCCAACCCAAGGAAATCCCTGGATCGCTTAGCTAGCCCAAACGATCCCTTATTTGCTATAAGTCTATAGATGTGCTTGACCTGTCAGGACGCCGCCTGGTCTTCACTTATCACGTGTGCACGTGATTCGTGACACTCTACCTCTAGCCTCCCTTATAGATAGCCTTAGGGAGGTCGTGAATTGTTACTAAAAAGATCCCGGGCTAATATAATAATAGCTAACGAGCCTATACTGCCTCCGGTATGTTATCGAAAGGCGCCCCCTCTTAAGACCTTAAATACCTTTATTTATCGCCTCCCGAACCCTCTCTATATACGCTATACGATAGACGAATAATATAATAAAATAGAGATACATTATACCTAGCCTAGATGTTCTTATACGAAGGAAATCGACTATTCTGTCGCTACTACTATAAGAACCACCCGACTATTCCTATAATAGAAGAGGCCTGTCACGAATCACGTGCTCACGTGATACTTGTCATAATAAGAGGCGCAACCCTCGACAGGCACATCCAGGTTTCTTATAGCAAATAGGGATCGTTTGGGGTAGCTAAGCGATCCAGGGATTTCTCTTGTATGTAATCACGTGACTAAGACTGGACCGCCAGCTCGACAGGCGAGTTGACGGCCTAGGGAGAACGAAGGTTCTATATAAGACTGGCACGTCTGCCATTAGATAGGAGCTTCGTGCTCAACTTAGTTATC